ATGTAGTCTTACCGGTACCCGACAAGCCGAAGAAAAGAGTGACATCTCCCTCTTTGCCCTGATTCGCAGAGGAGTGTAAGGTCAAAACGTTATGCTTGATCGGCATCTCGTAGAACAAGACAGTGAAGACACCCTTTTTCATCTCACCGGCGTACTCTGTACCGAGGATGACCATCTCCTTCTCGGCGAAGTTGATCGAAACCGATGTGGCAGAGGTCATACCCTCGGTCCATCTGTTTGCGGGGAACGAACCAGCATTGTAAATCACGTAGTCAGGATGAAAACCAGCGAGTTCTTCTCTAGCTGGGCGAATGAGCATATTGCGCATGAATAAGGCATGGTAAGCCCGAGCGCAGACGACGCGGACCTTGATACGATAGCGCTCATCCCAGCCAGCGAATCCATCAACGACATAGATCCGCTTGCGCGTGTTAAGATAGTCGACTGCACGCTCTCGGTTAATTCTCCATACCTGCCCAAAGAAAGGTTACCAATCAGCATTGCACCTAACGAAGAAGTACTTCTTTCGTTATCCTCATCTCGTGGCCTTTGGCAAACTGCTTATTTGTGGGGCAGTAACGTCATGAGGCCATTAACATCGGCAAGGATCAATGTGGAGTAAGTTTGGTTTGAGGTGGATGATAGCCAACGGAAGTGGGTCTCCCATAACTTTTCCAGGAGCTGTCCCCAGGCCCAATCCCCATTCTCACTATGGATGAAGAAAATGTGGAGAAGCAGTCAAGACAGGGATTTATGAGCTTACCTCAGGAGACATTGGCTTGTTAACAGGTCCCCACCAAATGTCGTTTTCAGATGAAGGTTCCTTGACGATACGCTTGTCGGAGGGGGAACGACCAGTCTTTGCGCCAGAGTAAGCTGTCAAAGCTCCGGAAGAAGTTATTGCTGTACCAGTTTCGTGAACAAGAGCATCTTCGTAAAGAGCAGCCACTGACGGGTTCGCGATAATTGAAACGTGGGTGTAGTCGATGTGGGCGGTCTCAGCGAGCTCCTCCTCAAGGGCGGTGCGGCCTCTGTTGGGCTGGACACCATGAGGGTGCAGTGGTGTCTTGTTGACAGCTGGCGGAGCCATCTTGGTTAACTGGAAATAAGACAAGCGCTGAAAATTGGAGTTGATAGTCGATCTTATCAACGGGGTGACAGCAGCAGCTTTCCACACAAGAATCGACAGAGGCAACAATGGGATCGTAATCAGATGTGAAAGTCGGGTGTGAAGAGAACTCATTATTGATGAGGAAGTCCGAGGAGTATATGAATCATTTTACCATTCCCTGTAGTGTCACTGGTATCGACACTAGCAGCACCAATCCGTCATCACACCGTAGTCACTGCTGCGGCGGTCATGATGCGTGCAAACGGATTGAGTACATTCGTGCCCCTCTCATAATTCTGGACGACCGTGCGGAGGTACCTTTCGCAATTTGGCCGTAATAGAGTACTGAATTAGAGCGCAAGCGGACAGAATCCCGATCTCCGCTCTTTCGGCTAACCAGCAAATCCAGTCAGGAATGGCCAAGGACCAGGTCTCTTAAGCTAAAAGGTTGATGGCAATGGCAAATGGGATTGAGCAGTTAATGACCCCACAGTTGGAAATAGCAGAGATGGAGAATGTCCGAAATCACCCGGACAATCTGAAGCGTCCTTTCACACTATAGCCTCTTTCCAATGGCTACAACAGGTGTAATCCACCGATTTCCTCGTTAGGACAATGGTTTTCACCCGATATCTCCCGATACATGTCTTCGATTCTTAGCAGGTGCGCAATAGGATAACAAGAGTATATCATATCAGCCAGCGCAACCTATTCGCAGGAGCTATGGAGCGCGATGAGTTCTCGGGCAGGCTTCTCGGGATCTAGCCGAAGATTCTTACCTGGCCGGGATTTCGCCTGGCAGAGAAGGTGTGGTGGAGAAACAACGAGAAAGGGAAGAAGAGCGGGATCGGACTGGACCTGACCCGGGCCCAGACGTGGCTGAGGCTGTTGCGGCACCGGGGAGCTCGTCTTTGGGCGGTCCCCAGATTTCTCACTTGCATGTCGGCCAACCCAGTCGATGATGACCACCTCTCTACCGGTTAGCTCGATACGAGGCAGGTGACCCTGATTGCTGGAAGAAATTTGCTGTCAACGGCAATCATGTATCTTTCTTCTTTTCATCGAGTGACACGGACTTGGCGGACACACAACGACGTTTGCCGGTGCAAAAAACAAGTCAGATCTCATCTGGTCTTCTCATGTCTTGACACCGCCTCTGTAACATATTGGATGGCCTTTGAGCGGATGGCACATTGAAACCCGTCAAGCTATGTAGTTCGCACCAATATGTGCTAGGTTGAAAGATTAAAATCCAAAGCACTCCGATGGGCCTTCCGAGTCCGTCCAGTAGCCCTCCTAGTCAATCTACGGAACCACAGCATGCGGCTGTGTGGGAAAGCCATTGGATGTAGCCGTTCTATCTTCCGCTGCTTTGCAGATAACAATCACCAGGGACGTTCAACCGGCTCTTTTATTTCTGCAGACTTCATTGACTTCATCGTAACTCTTGACGACAAGGTCTAGTCTACACAGCATCCGTGAAAGTAATGAGTACTCGGTAAACGTCCCAAGCCGTTCATTGCTTCTCTCAATCTCTGACCATCCCGAGAAAATCAGCCGCTGTTGCTGCCACACAGTAGGTTGTACCTCGACTGACAAGCTTGATTTGCACTTTGTGCTCTTCCATGTCCAGTAGCGAGCATCAGTGTCAAAAATCATGTGCAGCTCTGTGCAGAGCGAAGGATTATTGCGCGTTAACTCGTTGCATCTCGTCTTTCGTCTATGCCATCAAGTTGAGGGAAGATTCCCGGCTTGGAGTAATATCCCGATCAGGACGACAAAAAATTCGGGAGAGGGAGGGCTGAACCTTCCTCCAGACTGAATGACAGCCGAGAGAAGTCCAGAAAGGTGAGGACCCATCTAGCAGGAGTGACGACGAATTGAGGGAATCTCTCCTCTTATTACATTAACCTTTGTCAACGACCCCGGATATCCCCCGCGGAATGGAAACCGGACTGGTTCAGTAACTTCCTGCTCGCCTGACCTTAGGATTACTATGCCTGTTCTGCTGGCTTGTCCTTGGTTCCATACGCAACCCTTGGTGTCAAACCTCTGAGAGTGTCATTCACCGCACCGCAAGGGAGACCGTTTGTGTTTTCGAAGTGTGCAAAGAAGAGACCACAGTGAGTAGCTCTTTCAGGACAAAATCTTCAGCGGCTTCCCCTAAATTTGGTCACAATCATCATGAGGCCTTTAATGTAACCTTCGTCCGACCCGGCCGACCACAATGCGGATTACCTAGCCTCGCTAACATCTTTTGCGGCAGCGCATCCCTCTCAAGGGTTCCTGGAATCTGGCGGTTTACATGTCGCATTGAACTTCCATCAACAAGGACCAGTTCCGACATATCCCGACTTTTATCCGTGCTTCCCTTGCCACTCGAAATTCGTCATAAGTAGACTCGAGTAGGATGCAGAGCTGGGTGTGTTTCGGCTGGGGTTCGTCGTCGAGCAGTTTGGTGAGTTAGAACGTATATCGATGAAGTGATATATAATGTATATTAATAATGATAATAAGGAAAAGGCCTCGTGGCCCAATGGCAAGGCGCTTGACTACGATCAGATTTTGGAATCAAGAGATTCTGGGTTCGACCCCCAGCGAGGTCATTTTTTGTTTGCTATTTATGCGTATGAAACATCTAAAATGTACAGCTTCTTCTACAAATCGCTGCTCGGGTGAAAGCAGGAAAGTCGCCAGTTAGGCAATGCATACATCATAAGCCATTGACGGGCACATACCCCCAAAGGAAGCAAAGACACCCGTTGTGAAAGGACGATAGAACTGTATAATATTGAGCATGGATTCGGCAGAATCACAGAACCAGAAGATCAACCCCTATCACCTGAACCAAAGATAGAGCAAAAGAACACGGCAGGAATCTATACTACTAACATATCGTCTCGTCCCATGACCATCCTAGCCATAGACGCGTTATCCGCAGCTTCTCTCAATTACTGCCAGACGTTGTCGAATAAGTCGTCGTTATTTCCTAATGCCGCTCCATTCCCCCCATTACTTCCATGTCCATTTCGAATGTCCTCCCCAGCTACACCTGCACTAATCCATCCACCAATATCCTCATCCGCAGCAACAACAGGTACTGCCGGCAGAGCACTTGAAAGCCCACCAGATGATGCCCTGGCCACGGGTTTCTTGGGTCCCGTAGGTGCACCCCATCCAGATCCGATGTCGTTTGCTGTCAGCGATTCAGGCATGCGCATAGTCTCTAAAGATGGCGCGGGCGTAGAAAGTGGATTCGATGGTGTCAATGAGATTGGATCTGATGTTGACCAGGCGTAGAGATTGGCAGCAGGGAGACCGGTGTTCGTTGATGAGGTTGCTGAAACCCATGGATCCGGGAAGGCGGACACAGCAGCGGCAGCAGCGGAGGAAGCACTAGATGAAGGGGACGCTAATGTATTGCTGGGCTGTGCTGGTATGCTTGTGGTGGTAGCCGTAATTGGATGTCGTAAAAAGAAAGAAGATATTGCTTTCGGTTTGGAGGAGGGAGGAGGAGAATTGGGAACAACGTTTGAAGATGCAGGCTGAGAAGAGAGATCGAATGCGTTCCTCAAGGAAGACCCAGTCGAAGCACTGGCAGACGGATGTAATGTCTTTGCTGTAGGGGAATTAGCAGATGAGGACAATTCTCCTAACTGTCCGATTGCGCTAGATGACGGAGTGGCTGGCTTTGAAGGGTCAGATGCCGGTACAGTGGCGGCGGCAGGGGCGGACTGGAATCCCGCGAAATCATCAAAAACTGAGTCGCTCATACTACTTGGGGGCTGCGGCTGCGGCTGAACTCGCTGTAATTGTACTTTGGGAGCGGGGGAATCAAAGAAATTTCCCCCAGTCAACGGATTGGAAGTACCGCTTAACGTCCCCACAGGCTGAGCTGTCCCGGCCTTCGGAAGAGCCGAGGTTGTTGTTTTTAAGTTGGGTTTAGAGAGATTCGGGAGGGAAGGAGATGGGCGATGCGCGGTGCTTGATGATGGAGAGCCAAGGGAAGACGACGGTGGGGACTGATATCTCCGATGCTGTTGTTGAGTTTGCACAATTGCCGGCTGTGGAGATGTTGAACTTGGAAAGCTCAAACCGGAGAACGAATCCACCAACCCACTGAACGCATCCTTTGATTTCTTCTGCTGCTGCTGCTGCGGTGCTTGCGCATTGGGACTGGTGAGTGTGTCGAATATGGATTGTGACTGTGCCGCATAAACAGGAGACGTTGCACCCTGGGGAGAAGATGTCTTCGGCTGCAATTGCTGTGGCGTAGCATAAAGCGATAGAATAGACTGTTTCAAATCAGGTCGGGACTGTACTGATCCACCAGCCTCAGCGGGACCGCCACTTGCTGATCGCATTCCTCCGGCAAGAGCTGTCGTGGAAGCAGTGGCACCGGGAGCAAAAGGTCCGCTACTTGCTTGCGAACCAAACAAATCAAAACCAAAAATTGAGTCTGACGGACGAGCTCGCGCGGTAGGAGACGATGCGCTGGAAGTAACTTGAGAATGAAGTTGTTGTAACGGTTGCGCCTGAGGTTGTGCAGTACTTGATCCTGAGGGGGATGCGGAAGAAAGAGTCGCGGAAAAATCATCGTCATCAACTAAATTCATTTGGCGAGCTGGTATGTTGGTGAGTGCTGGTGATTGTGCTACTACTGCTTCTGCTACCGCATTTTTTGGACCAGCCGAAGCCCCAGCCGCGTGCTGGGCTTTGATTTTCTCCTGGATGATGGCAAGGGGCTAGAGCGTTAGGTAAGAGGGGAAAAGGGGAGAGAATTAACCATATAACTCTTAGAAAATAACAGTGAATGAGAATGAGAAGAGGAGATTCGGGCTTTGAACTCACAATATTCTCGTCTGGCTTATCTTCTTCATGATCGTCAAGAGTAGAAGGATCAGGCATGGGACCTGGTATCACCCATCTCCTTGCTTCGTATTTGGTGCGGATGAAGTTCTCAATTTTACTGTGAACTCGATTAGCGAGGAACTTTTCCCCCGTCCGCATGCATGGGAGTGCTCGTTCAAACATACGCTTCAGATGGAACATGTCCCGGCGCAAGTTTGGCCTCCCAATACCTATAGACCACCAAATGTCGTCAGCACACCCGTTTGTCCGACTCGTATGAAGGTACCAAATTATGATATAACGGCCTCCCATAACATACTTGTTTGCTCTGGCATTGCCCCATTTCACCATACTCTTCATTTGTTCATCAGTCCAGCTGTCCAAATCAACGGACTTGACTCGACTGATATGTGTGCCCATGCCACGGTGATGGCCCGAACAGCGTATGCAAATGAAAACACCAATGTTCCATGAAGCCCAACGAGGGTCTACCGTAAGATTTGATAAGTTTAGTCAGCTTGGTGTGTGTCATGGAATCCTCAATCATCACAATCATGATTGCTGCCTCGCCATCAAGATCGTTAATGCGACCATCAGAACAGACGATCACGACGATTTGCAACCAGTGAGGAAAACGGAAAAAGAGGAAAGGTAAATTCCTCACGCTTATTTCTCTTGCAGTCAGCGCACACTTTATTCGCTTCGAGCTTCAACAGATTCTTAACAGCTGCTTGATTTTGAGCAGCTGCTCGTTCGGCGGCTGCATTGTTACTGCGCCTGTACATTGTTCCCTCGTCTCGGCGGATAAGGCAACGAAAGAGAGCGAACGGAAAGGCCGCAGAGAGTGCGAGTGGGTGAAGAACAAGAATCCCCTCCTTCAAAAGTCCGCTAGTATAACTGGATGCCAGTTGCTGTCAGTCAAGCAATCGATCAGTCAGTCAGTCAGTCAGTCAGTCACTCGCTCACTCACTCACTCACAATCAGGAACAAGCGACAAGAGCGACAGAGTTGGCGCGGCCGCGTAAGTATAGGGTACCACGGGAGAGCAAAAGATTTATCAATAAAGGATGGAACGGGCGGTGAAGGTGAAGTAGAGGTGGGTGAGGTTGAGATGATGTCCGCGGAAATGAAATTACTACAATGTACTGGGTATGCACGGTGTGTAACCATACATATCACGTACTGTACTTGATAACGTGCAGTCGTGCTCAACCGCGCTACAACATCTCTGTGAAGGGGATGAGCTATGTACCTTGGGTTGATTCGGAGCTCTTTGCCAATGATATCATGATTAATGTGTAGTGTGGTGCTACGCTTCTGCCAAGATTTGAAATCCCTTGCGTTTTTGTCCCAAACGCCTGAGAAAAAGACGAATTAAGCAAGAATATGTAAACAAACATAACAGAAAAAACGTACAGAATAGGATGTGAAGAACAACAGCAGCAACCGACAGAATAAGATACAGATGCACTGATTGATAAACAGCAGAAATGACGAGCAGAGGTTATGAGGTTACCAAACGTACCTCCTTCCAGCAAACTTTACTGCCTTGCCGGCGGCTTTGAACACCCGTTCGCCCCGAAACATACCGGTTCAGAGGGAAAGCGAGAGAGGACAAAGAGACTGGGCGAGGCCGTCCAGTCAAGGTCAGAAGATCCATCTTAGCAGATAAAACAGCAACAGACCGATCACAAAGATGATACCCGCAAGTTTGAATATTGCGACCCGGTCTCCCTGCTTCGCCATGCGAGTCAACCTGGATGCGCTGGCTTTCATTCCTGTTGACATTGACGAAAACACTTCACTCTGCAAAGCATCAGATTAGTATGCGTTTATATTTTTGATTATATAAGGTAAGAAGCAAGATTAGTGATGCTGACTGTATTGTGTATTGTCTCCTGATCCCTGGCTTGGTCGTATATATTCAAGGTGATAGATTTGAGAGCACTGGTTTTTGAAGACAAGGAATCCAAAAGCGCATTATTTTGTCTAGTAACAAATCAAGATAGATGCTGGTCAGCAAGGCAATCAACCTTCTTCATGAAATTGGGAGGGGTTATGGGAATCTTCTTTCTGGCTAGTGCTGCTCAGTATACGGACCGCACTGAGCTATGTACATCTGTCGGTTCGATGAAAAATGCGCGAGACTCACTCTTCACGGGAGTAAGCACCAGCCATAATGGTTATCGTCTTCCTGCTTTCCCGACTGCCCTAATTGTCTTTGCAATCTCTGGTGTATTGAAGGATAGACGAAAATCCAGATGAAACCAGTTGCAACCTTATCGTCCGGGAATTAGAAGTCGTTGAAGTAACTGTACGATGTCGCACGGGCGGTTGAAAAGGATGTGCCGGGCTCTCAGTAAGAGTCCACTAGCTTGGAGATAGTCACAAAATATCTCTTTTCCTGAACATTTGCTACTCTCCTTCAGGAAAACCCTCAGTCTGTTGTTACCGTTAGCTCGGGGAGGGTTAAGCCGGCGGCTGTAGTGGTGACGTTGACGTCGGCGCTTACAAGGTGGTGTTGCGGATGTTGGTGCCAAGAGCTATTCCAACATGCAATTATGCGAAAATAAGTACATCAACTGCTTAATTGCCTAAGATGACAGTTTCGAGAGTCAGATTATCTGCTACGTAAGAATAACTTGCATAAGTACTATAACAGGAATGTCGTAGACTGAACCACTCCACTTCCAGCAACATAAACAACCGCCATCAGAGAACAATTAAAAAGACCAGAGACCACGACGCATCACAT